TGTTTACATTATTTTAGTTCTGATCTCCCCAAGATCATGAAAAACCAATTTGAATTGCAAACCTCTCTTGACAACTTTTCAGGCTCTCAGTAGTAAATAATTGGTACACCTAAATCACTAAGGAGTCTGACTCTCCAACGATCCAGCTTTAAGCACCTTTATTTAGATTGGCCCCTTTATTAGAACCAGGTTGACTTGCTGTCAGATTACAGTGCCAAGTCTAAGTTAAATACCATGGACAGCTGCTTTCTAGGCCAGCGACAGCCTAGCACCATAGCAGACACAGAGATCCAAGCTGCAGGCCAGGCAAGCAGTAAAATGGGCTGAATATGCTTTGCATATTGCTGCATTCAAACTTCTTCCTACCCTAAAACCTACAAAAAGGTTTTAAGAAGAGAGCCCCAATTGTTATATATAAAAATACTTTAAGGGCAAAAATTTCTGCTTAGTATTGCTATTTCTAAATCCCCAACCAAAATCCTTTCTTATTCCAAGCAAAGTCCTACAAAATAAAATTTCTGGACAAAAAAAAGAAAGGCATTTAGCGGCTTCAATGGAGTTTATGGTAATATGCAAACTGTGTATATTCACTCTGGGTTTATGAATATTGGAATACGACAAATATTAAATACCTCTTCTCAATGTTCCTCTGGAGTAAATGCAACCTCCAAGGAGTGCTTTATAATTCTCTAATCTCACATAATTTACTCAGTCTCATATTGCATGTAAGAATGAAACAGAAAAGGAGAGAATTAACCTTTCGTGAACAAGTCACATTTGCCAAGGATTATGCCAAATGACTAACTTTCATGTTTTTATTTAGTAGTTTTCCTCAGCCTTATAAAACAGGTATTATCATTCTCTTTTTTTTTCCATTTAGGAAATTGATGCTTAAAGAGTTTAAATGACTTTTCTGAGGCCAATGGACTTAGCACACAGCTGGGCCTTTCCTTTCTTCTAAGTCAAAGCCCCAAATGTCTCTACCATTCATGATGACACTGTACCACTTTCTAAACAGGGGAAGTTGAAAACATTGAAAAGAAATAGAACAATGCCCAAGCCCAGAGTTCAAGCCCCACGACTGACCAAAAACAACAACAACAACAACAAAAAACAGAAAGTGAAAAGAAATAGAAATATAAATGGAAAACTAATTCAAAATAAAAATAAATTTTAAAAAACAGAAAAAGAAAACAAAAAGTCACACAGGGGGTACTAACACTACTTTAACTATATTTGTTTAAAAAACTATGAGCCAGGTGCTAGTAGCTCATTTAGCTCATAATTCTAGCTATTCAGGAGGCTGAGACCTGAGGATTATGGTTCAAAGCCAGTCTGCATAATAAAATCTATGAGATTCATCTCCAATTAAGCATCAAAAAGAAAAAAGCCAAAAGTGGAGCTGTGGCTCAAGTAGCAGAACATCAGCCTTGAGCACAAAAGCCAAGGGAGTCAAGCCCCAGGATTGGTACAAACCAAAACAAGAACAAAAATGTCAGCTCACATTTTCCCATGACTCAGCTGATTCAGGACATATATCATCAATAATGATACCAAATTAAGATTTTCAACTTGTCCATGAAGCAGGACATTAGCGAGATATTTCACAGTACCAGAACTCAGCAGTGGTGATGATTCTGTCCATGAACCTACTGATGTGCTACATAGGAATATCTAAAATGTGGTTCCTCTGCCTTTTTAAATTCCCGTGCCCTACAAAGAAGACAATAAAAACAGGTTTTGTATGAAAGCATGCTTAGGATTTTGCTTCTTATTCTTCTCCTTTCAGAGTCCATTGAGGGCCGTTTTGGCTTTCGGTTCTTTTTCCCTCAGGATCCGGTGATAGCAGATGACAGATATTTCTGACAAAGATGGGTTACCCAGGAAATACCAATTCCTCCAAATTGGGGTCAGAGGCAAACTGAAAAGCCCATCCCTATTGGGACACTTTAAGATCAGAGCTTGGGTAGCAAACCTCTGTAAAGTTCTGAAGTCAGAACTACAGTAAAAGCAGTAATGACTGGAAAAAAAATTCCAGCTATGATTCAAAATTGGAATTGGCAGTTGGCGTATCCTGAAGGAAATCTTATTATTATGCACCACTCCCCCCAAAATGTACCACTGTGGAATATCCAATAAGACAAAGCTCTGTTTAAAAAAAATAACCACAGGAAAATAAAACTTTCTTCCCACTCTATTTGTTAAAAATGCCAAAAGAAGCAATAACGGTGTAGTAGAATCAATTAAAATTACTTGGTGTTAAGAAGAAAATAACGCAATAAATATTTGGAGGAAAATTCAAAACAGGGAAACAGTTATGAATATGCTTTTTCTAAAAATTAGGTATATTTACCCAGTGGAATTCTATGCTTCCATCAGAAAGAATGACATTCCCCATTTGTAAGGACATGGAAAGACTTGGAAAAAAATCATATTAAGTGAAGTAAGCCAGAACCAGAGAAACCTAGGCTCCATGGTTTTCCTCATTTGTAATAAATAGTATATGTCCAGGATAGTCCTAGCAGAGGATCACAAAAGCTCAATAGCTATGTACATATCACCGTATAAAATGATGCTAATAGAAATGAACTACAAAATATGGAAACAAGAGGGTTTTTGTTTGTTTGTTTTAATGTACTGGGTGAAGTTATTCCTTTTTTTCATTTTCCTTTGGTTTATACCCTGTTGTCACTGTTTTTGATTTTGTTACCCTGTGTCATGTATATATGTTTATCTGATTTGGGGAAGGGAATGGGAATAACAAAATGGTGAGACAAAGGACAAAAGGTGAAACAATTCAACAGCTATACTCACAACGCACTATGTTGGAGATGAACTTTACAACTTGAGGGGAGGGGAGCCAGGGTGAGAGAGAAAGTGGGAGAAAACAAGGGAGGGGGTAACACTGACAAGAAATGCACTCATTACTTATGTAACTGTAATCCCTCTGTACATCACCTTTATAATAAAATTAAATTTAAAAAACAAAATTAGGTATATTCAGAATTTTCAAGTTTAAAAGATATAGTATTAATCATAGGACAGCATTATGAACACAAACAACTAACAATTGTTAAGAAATGTCAGCCTGAATTGCTGACTTGTAAATGATCAGAAGAATGACTTGACAGTCACCTAATTAAGTAAAAACCCTGCGAGGATCACTTCAACAAATAATTCACAACTGACTAAAAATAGTCTGCAACCTGTGTTTAAAAAGTTATTTCCCCAATTCATGAAAACATCTGCCCACCCTATGCCCACAAAATCAGAACACAAAAGTCCTCCTGCAGTCTTATGTACAATATTGGGATGCTCTGTAAGTTCCTTTCATAAGAATGCTGTCAAAGTAATCTTTAACAAAGTGGGTGTCTAAGTTTAATGAAATTCCATTGAATGAGCAGTAAAACAACAAAGCACTGACTTTTTTTTTTTTTTTTACTGCTGATATGCTTAGGCTACTTATACCAAATCAGTACCTGACTTATAGATAATTATCCAGGATTTGAATCGGAGAAAGCACAGAAACTATAGCAAACCACTCAAATAGGCTGGAGGAAAAGGCCAAAAGCCAAGGAAGCATTTTGGTTTTTTTTTGTTATTAGGGTAGAACAAGAAACAAGGACAGAGCTCCAGTGACAGCTCTGTATAATGCCCTCAGCTCTCAGTGGTCATATCCAAATACATGCTGCTAAGTATTTTGATAAATGACTTTTTAAAACTATAATTTCTTATAAATAACTAACATTGAGAGATGTTAGGAACCATATAATACAAATGCATCTCTTTTGCACATAACAAATAAGAACTACTACTGCTATATTATGCCTATTATTATATAAATTTAGCTAAATTAATATTTTTTCCTTTTGAAGGACAAAATCTCTTACCTCCTATTCAAACATCCATTTTTGTATATATAGGAAAATATTCCTAGAGGCTATCATGAAAAGAAATCTGTGTATGCATTTAGGTTTTCTGTTTGAAATTACATCCAAAAATGACATTCTACTGTTAGGATAGGAATCAGAACTGCATTATGACACCACATAAAATTTTACTGATGCTGCATATCCATTACTTTTTATTTTACATTTTTGCAGATCAATTTCTTCTAAGCTCTTTACCAATCTGTTTTGCAAGTAAACAGTAGAATAGTCACTGCTGTCATTAAAACACTCAAATTCAACTGTGTAAATACATTGGACCATGTTCAAATGGGTCATTGCAATGCACAGGCAGGTGGAAAGGCTAGCTAGTGGCTCTTCTCACAGTAAATACTGGCCAGTTCCTGAACACGTGATATGAAATGTGATTTTGTGGAACAAGAAAAATAATCATGTAGCTGGAAGTGTGGCTTAGTGGTAGAGTGGTAGAGTGCTTGCCTAGGAATGTGTAAGTTCCTGGATTCACATCCTTAACGCCACATAATAAAATAAAATATAAAAAGAAATGAAAAAAAAAAACCTGATGGCCTCTCTTAATGATCATAGTTGCTAGATTGTAGGCTACTGAGATCAGAACATACAGCTCTGATAAAAACAAACTTTCTTCCCTTAAACATTGTTAAAGAGATGTGGCTTATTAATCATCACAGGACCATTTGAAAAGCAAAACCCAGTTGTTAGGAATATACAAACCTTCCCGTACAAGTTCAATTGTTCCTAATATCATTAAGTCTATTTCCTGAAAATAAAAGATAAGTAAGTGGGGAGTCTGCTCTGGGATGCTTACATAACCACTATTTACAAATGTTTTCACTTTGAAGAAAGCAGCTGAGGAATGTAGTAGACACATCTATAAGAATGTCTCATGTTTTTGGTGTTTTTGACTGACATGTTAATCTTGCTATCAAAAAAAAAATCACAGAATCCAATCTGCTCTACCCACTAGATTCCAGAACCACCATCATATTTACAAAAACTTCAGATACCCAAAATCATAACAGTTCAGAACTATGATCAAGAAAAGCATCAAATAAAAAGATCACCACCACCAACCTTTGCTGGGGCCTCTGATGAAGTCACCTTGACGACTTTATTGCGATTTAGCATTTGCTTCACTCCTTTCTCTACTTGGACATTGAACTTCATGAAAATCACGTAGCCAATATAAGCTGATAAGAGAAGTAAGCTTTCCCACCACATGATCACATTATCCAGGAAAAATATGATCAGCATGATCAAATCAACAATGTAGAAGGACACATCCCTGAAGAGTGGCCACCATGTCAGGTTTAAAATTTCTCTAGAAAACAGAGCACACATGCCAATAACAAAGAGGATATTGAACACTGCCGAGCCTACAATGGTGCCTATGCCAACATTGCTGTGAGCAATGAACACCCCAATGAGAGATGTGAAAAGTTCTGGGGCTGATCCCCCTGCAGCCATAAAGGTGGCTCCAGCTACGTCATCAGAGATGCCCAGTTTTTCAGTGATGACGGTCAAAGAGGGAACAAAGAACTCATCACACACGATGGCTAAGGCTATGAACATGTAGATCATTCCAATGACATGGAGAATGATGGCCCCTTTTCTTCGTTCCTCAAGGGAAAAGATATCTTTTGGGTAGTCTCCTTGGGCCTGCTCTGTATTATTATCATCAGATCTGTCTTCCAGAGAAAGAGGAGGCTGGGGAGTGTCATCCCGAATCTCATCATTGAAATCTAAGAGAGTTCTTTGATGGTGACTGCGTGCTACTCTAGGGCCACTTACAATACTGGCCTCTTCTGGGTTCCGTGTGTCTGTCTCAGAAAAGGCACTGACTGTAAATGGGACAGTGCTCATGGCTACCAGGCCTATGATGAGGCCTACAATGCGAATGAACTTCAGTTTTTTTCTGACATTAGAATGTCTCCTGCAGCTAGGTGGTGATTCATCCAAACACCATTTCTCCAAGAGGCTGATGGTAGTGCTTTGGTGCAGCTCCATCCTGCCTTGTTCTGGTGGATATATGGTCTTCACACTCAGACTCAGCCAGATGGTTCTATCATACTTCTCTTCACCTTATAGTTAACAGTAGTAGGAGCAGTAGTTAATGGTAGGTCACTTCCAGTGGTTCCTAGGCTTCCCAGGAAGTTCTCGTCACTTATGCTTCAATCAAAATAAAAACAAAGATAAGTAAATCATTAAGTTATATCCCTTTAATTGAAAAAAAAAACAAACCTTTAGCAGGTATGATAAAGGCCTGTCCTGTATGTGATCATGTGATCAGAACTAAGTTTATTAACTGCTCTATACCTCACTAAGGATTGATTGGTTGATTGATTGACTGTGTGTGTGTGTGATTTGTGTGTGTGTGTGTGTGTGTGTGTTATGCTAGAGATCAAACCTATGACCTCAGGCTGGGGTTGGGAATATGGCTTAGTGGTAGAGTACTTGCCTAGCACGCATGAAGACCTGGGTTCAATTCCTCAGTACCACATAAAGAAAAGAATAATTTAAAAAATTTAAAAAATCTATAACTTCACACATGCTCGACAATTGCTTTGCCACAGCTATACCCCAATACCATAGTCTTATCATACCTTAAAACATAGGTGCCCGCAGAGGAAGAAATGGCACAAGGTACATCTTTATAATCATATATAGGGAAACCAAATAAACATTCTGGTAACTAACCTCATTATGTGTGGAAATGTGTGTAAGTATAAAAATTTATGGAGGAAAATGAGTTTATCCACTTTAAATTATAACATATTCCAGTGCTAAAAGGATCCCACTTTGCTCACAACTGTCTAGGTTCTTGACAACTGACAACTCTTCATTGTATTTTCTTCTAGTCCAATTATATAATTCTCAGTGTAGGTACACTTACTGACTTAATCTGTCATTGGGAGAGGGTTGTATCTAGGAGGAGGTAATGCTGTTTTCTTGCACACAAAATGTCTAAGGACCTTATTTTCTTTTATGACAAGTATCTTCCATATCAGATGCATAAAAGCAGCCTCTAAAAAATTTAAGTTTACTGAAAATGCTCTGGTGACAGAAACAAGCTGTTTCCTTAAAGCATCCTCATACTGTTTTCTTCAAAAGCTAAAAAAAAAAGAGTCATATTTAAAGTAGCCCAATCAAATCCCAAATGCAGCAAAACAAGAAGGCTATTTCAAGACCAAATGCGTATTTCATAAACAACAGTCAAGTTGCAACACTACTTCTTTCCACAAAATCTGTCATAAAAGAGCCCCAATACCAATCCTTTAGTAGATTAGAAATCCAAAGCAGGGTTCCATGGAAGAGATAGGTTAAAATATCTAAACACGATAGATAATAACGAGATTACTTTAAAAAAAAAAAAAAGTATTCTCCAAAAACCCTCTTTTCACCTGTTTCAATGATTTCCTTTTCAGAGACATTCACTGAGATCACCTCAGGTGTAAAATGAACTAATTAAGCACACGCCACTTAAATACTGAGATAAGCTGGTGCTCAGGCTTCCAGAACAGAGCAAGACTACAAGTCAGTGCAGGCTGAGTTCTTGCTGCTGCTGCTGCTGCTGCTGATATTGCTGCTGCTGCTGCTTGCTGCTTGCTGAGATAACCCTGACCCATCAAATTCCTGCTTGGCTGCAGATGTCAGATGCTTAACACCAAAGATTAAACCACTCACAGCGCTTCCGGACCGTCACAATGCCCGGCCTGGGTTACAGGCGGGGACAGACTCAGCACCCAGGGCTCCCTACCAGCTCGGTTCGCCCCGCAAAGGCACCCACCACCGCTCGACTCCCCCATCAACCCTTCCACAAGTGAGACCCCAGCCGCGCCCCAACTTTGCCTCGCGTAGTCCCAAACTTTCCCTAGCGGGTTAATAGGAAAATAAAACGTAAAGGCAGATGGCCCCATCGGAGAGACTGGAAGCTGAGCAAGATACACTTGGGGTGGCGCCGGGTCCGCATCCCCCTGGCTGGCTGGTGGGGAACGTCCCTCTGCTCCCCGACCCTCCCCTCAATCAGGCCTTTCCCGGGAGCCCCCAGCCCGGAGTCAGAAAGCACGGATGGCAAAGGTTGGGGCTCGGGATGGGCGACGGGGAGCGGAGAGAGTTGGCGAAGTCCAAGCGGGGCCTGGGGCGCCCAGCTCCACCGCGGAGCCACCTGTGAGCCTGCGGCGCGGCAGCGGGGCGCCCCGGTCGGGGTGGGATCCGGGGGGACCACCGCCGCCGGGGCTGGCGGCTGGCTAGGCGCAGCCGCTTGGACTTACCCGGATTCGTGGAACCAGCCGGGGAACTGCAGCGTGGGTCCGCCGCCTCCTCTGGCCTCCGCCTCCCCGGCTACGAGGCCCCGTGGCTCTGGCTGAGGCTGAGCCGCGCTCCCGCAACCGGCACTGGGCTGGAGAGGAGACTGAGCGGCGGCAGCTCCGCTCGGCGGCGCCGAGAGCTACGGGGGCCCGGGTGGCCCCTCCCTATCGGCTGTGCCCTGGATCGAGCCGGGCCGCAGCGCGCGCGCTCCGCAACCTCTCCAGTCCTCGGTGCTCCACGCCTCCTGGGCGCAGAGGCGACGCCCGCAGCCCAGCCTCTTAGGAGATTTCTCTGCAGTGGGGACGAGGGGGTGAGGATTTGCAGGCAGAGGAGAGATCGTACAGGTCTGTGGATGCGCCTGATTCCCAGAGCTTGAAAGTGCTTTCAACTTTGGGGTCGCCTATCTGGACATCGCCTCTTCATTTATCTGTAATAGACGATGCCAGCCAGGGCTTGAAGGAGGCTGTGTAATGGGTAATGGTGAGGAGGGCCGTCGTTGAGAAGCCACAGGCCTGAAGGGCAGGCTCTTCCTGTCCAGGGCTTCTGGAATCTTTGGGTGTACACGGTTGAGACACTGAAGCATCTTTCGGCTTGCAGACTGACCTTGCATTACGCGATGAAGCTGAGACCCAAGACATCGTGTCATGTTGTGTCCCTCACAGTGTTCTGATTTTGCCTCAGGACTCCCAATCTAGTGCTCCTTCCAGCCTTACCTGGAAGGCAAGAGCCCTTTGGTAGCCAGCTATTGAGTTAAACTTGTTGAGGATTAGAGGAAAGAATCTGGGCCGAAGAGTTGCTGATGGAGATGTATTTATCAGCCTTTTGAAGAGGTCTCTATCTTATGAGGTTTCTGGGGTTATCTGTGCATTATCCGTTCTCCTTATCCTTCATCCTCTGTTCACCCTTTCCGAAGTTTCTTCATGCTCTCTTAGGATGCTGTAATGTTGGTTATGACTCTCAAAAACCTACCGTCTATAATTATGCTGTAGCTCTGTCCTTAAACCTTTGCTTACTAGGTAACTCCAGCTTAGTCAAGGTAAATCTTGGGAACTTAAAATTAACCCTGTATCTCCCAACAAAGCTAGGCATTCGAGATAATTTGCCCTACTAAGGATGTAACAATTCTAGTTGGAAGTCATTGGCTGAACTTTACATTTTATCTTGGAAAATTTCAAACATATACATATACATATACATATGTGAGAAAATACTATAGTGAGCCTCTGTGGTCCATCATGATCTTCTAAAACTTTGCACTTATAACCATTTTATACCTAGCTTTACTCAGACATCACATCATTGTATTCATAAATGTCTATGGGACACAAGGAAAGTACCAACCACTACTAGCATTGTGTCTAAAGCCTCAGGAAATGATCCACATAGACTTCCATTGATCATGATATGACAGTTTAAACACCAAAAAAACCATTGCATTGTAATTGTTTCAAACAAATCAATATTGTTAAGCTTATAGCCCTTCCAAAAATAGCTCAACAGATTTGTAACTATAGATGGTGGAGAGGGAACCACCTCATTATTTTGGAGACTTTTAGAAAAATAAATACCCAATGACCCAGCAACCCCACTCCTAGGCATTTATCCAATAGAACACAAGCAAAGTTACACTAAGGCTACCAGCACAACCATGTTTGTTGCAGCACTATTCACCGTAGCCAAGATATGAAATCAGCCAGATACCCCTCAATGGACAAATGGATCAAGAAAATGTCGTATATATACACAATGGAATTTTACTCATGTATTACAAAATCCATGAGTAAAATACTTGTGTATTTTGACATTTTATAAGAAAATAAAAAGACTTGGAAAAATTATATTATAGTAAGCCAGCTCCAGGGAAACAAAGGTTGCATGGTTTCCCTCTTTTGCAGTAGAAAGAATGTACCTATAAATCTATAAGTAAATAGGTTGCATGTTATGCAAGTGTTTACAAATGAACTAACTAAAGTACAATAGAGTCTATGGATAGCTCAAATAGTATAATCTTTTAGGAAAACTAGACCAAAGCCCAACAAAATAAGCACCAGGAAATTAGTACATGCAAAGGGTGTTGGGACAAGGGGAGGGTGGTAGACAAATGAAGTCAGGGAGATGAGATATACAAGACACTATGTTGAAAATGAACTTTACAACTTTGTTGGGGGAGGGAGGAGCTGGGGAAGTGGGGAGGGAAGAAAAGGTAGGGTAAAATCAAAGGAGGGAGTAACGCTGCTCAATAGGAAATGTTACTCATGTAGCTGTAATCCCTTTGTACAGTATCTTTACAATAAAATATGTATTAAAAAGAATTCTTTGTATATGCCACAAAATTAAGAAAAGTAAGGGAAGGGGTGGGACAAAGGGAGGTGAGAATGTTGAAGTGGGTGATACTGATAAAGATGCATTGTATTCATAAGCTGCTGTTAAACGGTACCTCCATTGTACAGCTACTTAAAGATAATAATTTTTTTTGGCAGTCCTGGGGCTTGAACTCTGGGCCTTGGTGCTATCCCTGAGCTTTTGTGCTCAGGGCAAGTGCTCTACAACTTCGAGCCACAGCACTGCTTCTGGTTTTCTGGTGGTAATTGGAGATAGTCTCAATGGACTTTCTGCCTGGACTGGCTATGAATCCTCAAGTCACAGCCTCCTGTGTAGCTAGTATTAAAAGCATGTGCCCAGCTATATATTTTTTTTTAAAGAATAGAGTTGGAGAGACCCTTTGTCCCCATCTGATATGAGGCCAGTGTACCCACATTTCTGCATTAGAAATTATAATATATAA